GTCCCCTCCTGTCCCCTCCCATCCCCTCCCGTCTCCTCCCGTCCCCTCCTGTCCCCCAAAGGAATTCTTTGGGGGGCTGTCCCTGGCAGTGCTGTGCTGCTCCCAGGGTTTGGCTGGGCCATGGGAACACTTGGTTGCCCCTCGTGCACCTTCTCATCACCTGCTCCCCAAATCCAAACCTTCAAACTTCCAGCCCTCCTTCCTGCACCTTCTCATCGCCTGCTCCCCAAATCCAAACCTTCAGAGAAACTTCCAGCCCTCCTTCCTGCACCTTCTCATTGCCTGCTCCCCAAATCCAAACCTTCAGAGAAACTTCCAGCCCTCCTTCCTGCACCTTCTCATCGCCTGCTCCCCAAATCCAAACCTTCAAACTTCCAGCCCTCCTTCCTGCACCTTCTCATCGCCTGCTCCCCAAATCCAAACCTTCAAACTTCCAGCCCTCCTTTCTGCACCTTCTCATCACCTGCTCCCCAAATCCAAACCTTCAGAGAAACTTCCAGCCCCACCTCGTGGGTCCTTCCTCGTGCCCTCCATGCCTTGGGTGCCCTTTTATCCATTTTGACTGTAAACCACCCATGTTGTTCCATAGGGGCTCCAGGATTCCATAGGGGCTCTAGGATTCCATAGGGGTTCCAGGATTTTGGGCCTGCAGGAAGGCCCGTGCTGTTCCATAGGGGCTCCAGGATTCCACAGGGGCTCCAGGATTCCACAGGGGCTCCAGGATTCCACAGGGGCTCCAGGATTCCACAGGGGCTCCAGGATTCCATAGGGGCTCCAGGATTCCATAGGGGCTCCAGGATTCCATAGGGGTTCCAGGATTTCGGGCCTGCAGGAAGGCCCGTGCTGTTCCATAGGGGTTCCAGGATTCCGTGGGGGCTCCAGGATTCCACAGGGGTTCTTCTGGGATTTTGGACCTGCCGGAGGGCTGATGGTGGCCCCGGGGACGCTGTGCAATCCCCACCCCAAACCATTCCACGTTTGCCATTCCCAGGCTCCTTGGGAGACGTCTCCAAATCCTTCCTGGACCTCACCGACCTGGAGGAGATCAACACCTACTTCTCCTTCAACGTCAGCTCGGCGCTCTGCCTGACCTCCACGGCCCTGAGGGCCTTCGGGGCGCGGGCTGGCAGTAGCAGGAGCGTGGTGAACGTCTCGTCGCTGTGTGCCCGGGAGCCCTTCCCCAGCTGGGCTCTGTACTGCGCGGGCAAGGCGGCCCGGGAGATGCTGTTCCGTGTGCTGGCACGGGAGGAGCCCGCGCTGCGTGTGCTGAGCTACGCCCCGGGTGAGCAGAGAGCGCCCTGACCCTGTCCCAGTGCTGCTGACCTTGGGAATGGGCATTCCTGGTGAGCAGAGAGCGCCCTGACCCTGTCCCAGTGCTGCTGAACTTGGGAATGGGCATTCCTGGTGAGCAGAGAGCTCCCTGACCCTGTCCCAGTGCTGCTTCCCTTGGGAATGGGAATTCCTGGTGAGGAGAGCTCCCTGACCCTGTCCCAGTGCTGCTTCCCTTGGGAATGGGCATTCCTGGTGAGCAGAGCTCCCTGACCCTGTCCCAGTGCTGCTGAACTTGGGAATGGGCATTCCTGGTGAGCAGAGAGTGCCCTGACCCTGTCCCAGTGCTGCTGAACTTGGGAATGGGCATTCCTGGTGAGCAGAGAGCCCCCTGACCCTGTCCCAGTGCTGCTGAACTTGGGAATGGGCATTCCTGGTGAGCAGAGAGTGCCCTGACCCTGTCCCAGTGCTGCTTCCCTTGGGAATGGGCATTCCTGGTGAGCAGAGAGCCCCCTGACCCTGCTCCACCCCTGCTTCCCTTGGGAATGGGCATTCCCGGGGAGCAGAGAGTTCCCTGCCCTTGGGAATGGGCATTCTCCACCCCTGCTTCCCTTGGGAATGGGCATTCCTGGTGAGGAGAGCTCCCTGCCCCTGTCCCACTCCTCCTGCCCTTGGGAACGGGAATTCCTGCAGCCCTGCCCTGCTCCTGCCCCTGCAGCAGAAGTGGGAGGCCGGGTCCTGTTCTGGATGAGGCAGCTGGGCTCAAAGATCATCTCCCAGCCAGCTTTTCCATCAGGATCATGGAATTCCAGCTTGGGTTGGGGGGAAAGGGACTTGGAAATCCATCCCATCCCATCCCATCCCATCCCATCCCATCCCATCCCATCCCATCCC